CCCTGGGCCAGACCCCAACAGGCTGCAGCCATTTGGGTCCTCTCTGGGGGTGCCAGGGTGGCACCACACCTTCTTGAAATATTTCACTGCTAAAAGATACCACTCGAGTTTAAATATTTTACTGCCTCTTCTGGGCCCTGCACTTGTCCAGGGAGGAGGTTCAGACCCCTTGCAGGTGCCCCTGCCCCCGGTACAGACCCCCCCACTCTGAACTACCCAGGTTTTGGGCACATCCCTGGGGTGATGCTCTGAATTGTTCACCTGACCCCAAACAAGACCTGCAGCACGTGCAACAACCTGCTGGCTCCCAGCAAAAACACCGAGCTGGTTTCAAGGGCAGCCAAAGGATATTCAAAATTCTTGACTCCTGTCATCAGCCTGGGGGGGACAAGGAAGGAAAAAAGGAGGGGGAAAAGACACAGGAAGGGTCCCCCCCCACGCTTTGGTTATTTTTTTCCAAAGAGAAGGGTGTGATTATTAATTGTTACCTGTAGGTGCCTCCCGAGGCCCAGAGGTGCCACCACACTGAACACACAGCCCACAGCGGGGTCCTGGGCTGTGAAAATGTCAGATCCTACCCCACCAAACACCCGGGGAAACACAAACTGCGAGGTGTTACCGGGACAATAATTCCCAAGCCCCCTCAAGGTTCACCCCCTGATGGTTTCCTACCTGCCTGCCTCAGGCTGCCCCCGTTTACCTGAGCTTGTTCCTCCTCTCCCCCAAAGATCACCTCCTGTTTTACTCCCCCAAAATTTTCCCAGCCTGCCCACTCCTGATCCCCCCAGAAATCGGTGAATCCAGGGAAGCTCCGGGCTGGGAATCGTGGTGGCTGCCAGTGGCCATCCAGAGGGTGTCCCACCATCCGTGTTCCCCACCCTTCCCTGTCCATCCCACCACACAGTGTGTTTGTCCCCACATTCCCATGGACACAAATCAGAGCCCTTTGCCCATTTTCTCTGGGCTGTTCCAGGGGAGGTCTGGGCTCCTTTGTCCATTTTCTCTGGGCTGTTCCAGGGAAGGTCTGGGCTCCTTTGTCCATTTTCTCTGGGCTGTTCCAGGGGAGGTCTCGGCTCCTCGTGTTGCAGCAGCTCCTCCGCCAGCGGGAGGTTCCCACCAGGCTCGGATCGAGGTACAATTGGTCTGTAACGACTGATGAGGCCAGGCCAGAACAACTGATACCCCAAACCAGAGCTGTGGATTCACAGTTGGTGGGGTCACAATGAAAGCTGAGTGAATATCCCAGTAAATGGCCCCCGGAGCTGAGGGGGGTGGGGCAGAATATGCTGTAATTACCACACTCATTAGCATAACTAACGAAGGGAGGGTGTCCCCCCTGCGGCTCGAGCTGGTTGGTGTGTTGCCCAGGTTTGGTCCATGCTGGCAGTGGAGGCTCCTGAAAGAAGGATAAGCCATCCTTCCAGGGGGAACTGGATCCTCAGAGGGGTGT